TTGCATTTCCCTAATGACTAATGAGATTAAGCATTTCTTTAAGTGTTTCTCTGCCATTTGATATTCCTCTGTCGAGAATTCTCTGTTTAGCTCCGTTCCCCATTTTTTAAATTGGATTACTTGGTTTGTTGCTTTTCTGCTTCTTTAGTTCTTTATATATACAGTATATGAGTCCTCTGTCAGATAAAGGGTTGGTGAAGATTCTTTCCCAATCTGTAGGCAGTTGTTTTGTTTTGATGATGGTGTCCTTTGCTTTACAGAAGCTTTTCAGTTTCATGATGTCCCATTTATTGATTGTTGCTCTTAGAGCCTGTGCTGTTGGTGTTCTGTTCAGGAAGTTTTCTCCTGTACCAATGAGTTCTAGGGTATTCCCCACTTTTTCTTCTAACCGATTTAATGTGTCTGGTTTCATGTTGAGGTCTTTGATCTACTTCAACTTTAGTTTTGTGCAGGGTGATAAGTATGTATCTATTTGCATTTTTCTACATGTAGATATCCAGTTAGATCAGCACCATTTGTTGAAGATGCTATCTCTTTTTCATTGTATGGTTTTGGCATCTTTGTCAAAGATCAGGTGTCCTTAAGTATGTGGGTTTATTTCTGAGTCTGTTGATGTTGAGAAAGATTAATGATCAGTGGCTGTTAGACCCTTTGTTACTGATGTTGGCTGTGGTAGTGTGTTTGTGTGCCTGGCTACTTCTAGTTTGGCTGTAGTGAGGTTATTTATTTCCTTTGTTTTCCTGAGAGTAGTTAGTTTTCTTGATTTGTATTTTTCCTTCTGTTATCTTCTGCAATGCTGGATTTGTGTGTAGGTATGCTTGGAATTTGTTTTTGTCATTGAATATCTTATTTTTTCCGTCTATGAGGACTGAGAGTTTTGCTGGGTATAGAAGCCTAGGCTGGCATCTGTGTTCTCCTAGGGTCTGCATGATATCCGTCCAGGCCCTTCTGGCTTTCATAGTCTCTGTTGAGAAGTCAGGTGTGATTCTGATGGGTTTCCCATTATATATTACTTGGCCTTTTTTCCGTCCAGCTTTTAGTATTTTTTCTTTGTCCTGTATACTTACTGTTTTGATTATTATGTGGCAGGAGCATTTTCTTTTCTGGTCTAATTTATTTGGGTGTTCTGTAGACCTCTTATATTCTTATTGGCCTCTCCTTTAAGTTGGGGAAATTTTCTTTAATGATTTTGTTGAAAATATTTTCTGGGCCTTGGAGCAGGGAATCTTCTTTTTCCTCTATTCCTATTATTCTTAGGTTTTTGTCTTTTTATGTTGTCTTGAATTTCTTGGACGGTCTGTGTCAGAAATTTTTTAGATTTAACATTTTCTTTGACAGATACATCTATTTCTTCCATTGTATCTTCCACACCTGAAGATTCTTTCTTCCATCTCTTGTAGTCTATTGGTTATGCTAACCTCTGCAGTTCCTGTTTTCTTCCCTAAGTTCTTTCTCTCCACAATTTCCTCCATTTGTGTTTTCTTTAATTTTTCCAATTCTATCTTCAGATCTTGAGCCGTTTTGTTGATTTCCTTCACCTGTCTGACTGTATTTTCCTGCTTTTCTATCATTTCCTTCAGCTGTTTGTTTAAACAATCCTCTGTTTCTTTTATTTCATTCAGTGATTTAAGCATTTCCTCTCTAAAATCCACAAACTGTTTGGCTGCAACTTCCTGTATTTCTTTACGGATGGCCATAATCTGTTTGAGTTTATCTTCCTCTAGGTCTTTACGTATTTTATTTGTTTCCTCTGTTATCCTCTTCATGAGCATAGATGTTAGGTCATCTTCTTGGATTTCAGTTATGCTGGAGTGTTCTGGGCTACTTGCCCCTGGGTAACTGGGTTCTGGAGATGCCATATTGCTCTGTTTTTTGTTGGTTGAGCTTTTACGCTGGCCTCTACCCATTAGGCTATCTTAGGTGTTTGGGGTTAGTTTCTGGTGGTTCCTGGAATCCTGTGGTGGAGAGAATCCCTTGTCAGAAAGATGGTTTTTCCTGAAGGAAGCCTTCTCAGCTTTTTGGGTATAGTCACTGGATGGCCAGTGTTTTTCAGGAGTTGCCACTGCTCACCTCAGGCATAGAGAACTGAGTGGTAACTGTGGTCCTTGTTAGTCAAGAGGGTTCTCCTCTCACCCGGAGAAGTCCTGAAGACAGCTGCCCTGCTTCTGGGTTTCTTGCTGTAAATTTAGTGATCAGCTGCTGTAACCTGTGTGTCCCGTGGTTTGGTCAGTTTTGTTATGGGTAACTGGTTGCCCCTTGGAGCAGTATCTGGGGGTTGATCTCAGGGATTCTGGGCTTTTGTAGGCCTGAGGTTGGGGCTCTATGCCCCAGTACCCAAGCGGTAATCTGTGGCGAGTGAGTACCGCTCTCCTGGTAACAGCAGGCTATCTGGGGCACAGCAGGTCCCTGGGTTGGGCCAGTCTGCGGGACCTATTCCAGGGATATACTGGGTGGCCTAAGTCCATCCCCTTTGCTTCGTTCCCTGTGAGGATTTCTCCCGACAGTGACTCCCAGTCTCTGGTGCCCTGGGGCGCACAGCTCTGTCTGTGCCGGAGAGCTGGTGCACAGCAACTGTCTGTGCCTGCGGCTGGAGCCCAGTTCAGTGATGGCGACTCGTACCCACAGGTCTGCGAGACTTATTCCAGGGAAAGACTGGGTGACCCAAGTCAGTGCCATTTCCTTCCTTCCCTGTGGGGTTTTCTCATGACTGGGACTCCCAGTCTCTGGTGTTTTTGTGCCCACCGATCAGCCTGGGAAGGTGATCAGGACACACAGGCGTGTGGCTCTGGTCTGGCGACCTAGTGCCTGCGGGACCAGGGATTTCTTCCGGGTTCTGGCTGGGTGACCTGAGCATGGACCCGACTGATTCCCACGCCGTGGGGATTTCCTCTCACCTGAGAAACATGATCGTTGTTGTTTGAGGGCCCAGAGTTCAGTCTCTTGGTTGCTTTACGGAAAATGTTGTCCTGCTCCTCAGACGCAGTGTTCTCCTGGCGCCGCCATCTTGTCCCGCCTCCAATTAAAAGTTTTAAGCCATCATAAAAATAGTATAAAGAACATGGTCGAATGTGACAGTTTTCTTATTTAGACTGAATCTGGGTATTTAGTGAAGTATGGCTTTCAGCGAACAGGCAGCATGGTCGCTTGCTGGGCAGCTGTTCTCAGCTCAGTCAGCTGACTAAAAGCATTCTAGTAACTATGGTGTTTGGACTTCCTCGGTCAGCTCTGTTTTTCCAGTGGATCAGTAAGACTTTTGTCTCCAAATGTCTCTCTCTTTTTTTTTTAAGGCAGAGTGGTGTTTGTTTGTTTTTTTTAAAGATCTATTTTATTATTTGTACAACATTCTGCCTGTACACCAGATCTTACTGTAGATGGTTGTGAGCCACCATGTGGATGCTGGGAATTGCACTCAGGACCTTTGGAAGAACAGTGAGTGTTCTTAACCTCTGAGCCATCTCTCCAGCCCCAAATATCTCTTTTTTGTTGTTGAGAAGTGAATGTTTATTAACGTGCAGAAAACTTGAATGTGATTCTCCTTCGTCTCTGCTTCTGTGTTGTTGTTGAGTGTGCTTTCATAACGATTCTGTGAAGACAGCTCTTGAGGCCTATGTACTGAGTGCTTGGACATGAGTAGATCGAGATTTGTTTACATGTCTGGAGCCAGTAAGATGCTTTATGTCGGTCAAGTGGTTGTGTGCACCTGCTGAGCCAAGTCAACACCCTAGGCCTGCAGTTCACGAGTTCTCTCAGTCTGCTTGTGCTTCAAGGTCAGTCAGAGGAAAGAGCACGCAGGCTTCTTCTTTCCAGAGCGTGAACATACCCTTAGGTGGGACTGTTGCCATCCAGACTGCCAGAGGTGTATGAAGCACTCCACAGTTTCATTCACAGGGTTATCCTTAAATATTTGCGTTGGTGTAGTGTGTGTCTTCTGAACTGCTACCCATTGCTTCAGACGGAAATATGTGTTTTACATGCTTTGCACTAATGTAATTGGGAAGAGGCTTTCTACCCAAAGTGAGCTCCTAATCAGAACACGAGAGTCATCTTGTGAATGGAGTGGTCAGGGGTGAAACCAGAGAGGTCACGTGATGGCAATTCTCAGTGTGCTGCAGCTTTGGGGGTTGCTTCCAGCATGGCCCTGTCTGTTGCAGTGGCTGTCAGCCTGTAGATCGTCACAGGGACTGAGGGGGTTGTTAGTTCCAGGGCACACATAGCCATCTGTATCCAAGCAACTTACAACAGCATGCAGTCGCTGCCTCTGTTGACATTTCTCCAAAATGCATCAATTCTTTAATTTCCAGAATTCTGAAAAGGTTGATTCTGAAAAATATTGTTAGTGCTTTTATAGAAAAGAGGATGTTTAGAGGTCCTCCCTGCACCATTCCAGCCACTGTCCCTTAGCCCTAAATCTTTTTTTTTTTTAATGACAAAATTTACATGGAACTTCATTGTCTTGTTATATTAAGAAGATAGACCATGGACATGCCATAGATGATGTAAGGTTCTATTTAAATATACTACTACAGCAATAGCGATGGCTTGAGGCAACTGTCAGACCAGAGATAAACACGGCATCTCCTTAAACATTTCTAATACTGAAGATGTTAAACTTGCAATAAATGGTGTACACTGAATAAAGCCCAGGTTATGACATACAGAACTCTGAATTCAGGGCCAGCATCTGTCTCATGTGTATGTATATATGTTAACTTATATGTGCACATGTCTGTCTCTCTCTCTACACACACACACACACACACACACACACACACACACGTTTGTTTCATAATCTAGCAAAGCTACAAAAAAACAAAGTACTTGGCAGTTCATGAAACAAACCAGATACTCAAGAAACTCTAGCTTCTATCACTAATAAACTCATGAAGAAATTGGTTACTATTGGTAATGTGAATAGTAAGTTCTTTCATCAAGAGTCCAATTCAAAATGGGAAACGAATCCAGCTGCCTCACTCACCTCGCTTTATTTCCTCTGGTCACAGGCACTGTGGTGGTCCAGCAGCTGATGTCAGTGATGATCAGCAAACATGACTGTCTCTTCCCCAGAGACGCAGAACTGCAAAGCAGGCCCCAGGATGGACTGAGTGGCAACAACAACGAGGGTCCTAAGAAAGCCACGATGGGCCAGTTACAGAACAAGGAGAACAACAACACCAAGGACAGCCCCGGCAGGCGGTGCTCCTGGGACAAGCCTGAGTCCCCCCAGAGAAGCAGCATGGACAACGGCTCTCCCACAGCTCTGCCAGGCAGCAAGGCCAACAGCCCAAGGAACAGCATGCAGAAGCTGGACGTGTCAAGGAGCCCCCCTCTCATGGTCAAAAAGAACCCAGCCTTCAATAAGGGCAGTGGGATAGTCACCAACGGTTCGTTCAGCAGCAGCACAGCAGAAGGCGCCGAGCAAACCCAAACCACCGCTACCGGGACTTTACAAGCCAGAAGGACCTCGTCCCTGAAGAGTTCTGGTACCAAAATGGGCACCCACAGTGTGCAGAACGGCACCGTCCGCATGGGTATTTTGAACAATGACACGCTAGGGAACCCCTTGAACGGTCGAAGCATGAGCTGGCTGCCCAACGGCTACGTGACCCTGCGAGATAACAAGCAGAAGGAGCAAAGCGGAGAGTCGGGCCAGCACAACAGACTGTCCACCTACGACAATGTCCACCAGCAGTTCTCACTGATGGCCCTTGATGACAAGCACAGCGTGGACAGCGCCACCTGGTCCACCTCCTCCTGCGAGATCTCCCTCCCCGAGAACTCCAACTCCTGTCGCTCCTCGACCACCACCTGCCCAGAGCAAGACTTTTACGGTGGGAACTTTGAGGACCCCGTCTTAGACGGGGCCCCGCAGGATGAGCTGTCTCATCCGGGGGACTATGAGAACAAGAGTGACCGCAGGAGCGTGGGTGGCCGCAGTAGCCGTGCCACCAGCAGCAGCGACAACAGCGAGACGTTTGTCGCCAACAGCACCAGCAACCACAGCGCGCTTCACAGCTTAGTGTCTAGCCTGAAACAGGAAATGACCAAGCAGAAGATCGAGTACGAGTCCAGGATAAAAAGGTGAGGCCCAGAAGTCCATGTTACCGGAGGGTGACAGCAGCTCCCTGCGTCTCACTGAGCTGTGTGGGACAAAATATGCTTGCTCAGACGGGCTGAGCTCCGTCCTCCCTGACCGTTTGCCAGGAGTGGAATGTTGGGGGAGTGGGGTTCTGGAGCTTGGAATTCTTAATGGGAAACCTTTAAAAGCTCTCCCTCAAAAGCACAATAGAAGTCACCGAGTCTTGTTTCTGACACAGAATAAGGGCCTCTTCAATGAGGACAGGGCAACAGCCTGTTGCTGGTAAGTTTAGAACTGAAGTAAAACCAAAACTTGGGTAAAATGTTAGGATGAAACTTAGAAAGCAAACGAATGCTTCATTGCATTTTTCAGCCATTTAATTCTGAGAGAGTATCAAGTGTTTTGTTTGGTTTCGTTGTCTTTTCTTCTCTCCGCCCCCCTCCTAGCCCCTCCTAGCCCCCAGACAGGGTTTCTCTGTGGAGCCTTGGCTCTCCAGGACTTGATCTGGCTTTGAACTCACAGATACACTTGCCTCTGCCTCCCTGAGTGCTGGGACTAAAGGTGTGTGCCACTATACCCGGCTGAGAGATTATGTTTTATCTCAGACTGGAAAGAATCTGATGTGCTCTTAGAGGGGACAGGGACAAGGTGACGTAGGACTCCCTGGGCTCATTTTTAAGCCCTGGCTTTTACTCTGAAGTTGGAATCTGTGGAAATGGACGAACAGCTGATTAACATGGGCAAATGAGGCCTAAGTGCGGTGCAAGCTACACTATTATGAGAATATGGTTATGTTCAAGATCTTTTTCATAGCAGTTTACACTCTCCCGTAAACGGCCAAGGCACAAATTCGGCTTAACAGCTCCCTTGGGGAAGCCGCCTGGATGAGCTAAAGGCCAGTGGCTGCACTCTGCGCCCACTGTAACTCTCGAACATCAGGTGTTCCATTGATAGTGCAGTCCAGGACTCAGACAAAGCCTTATGCTCGAGGACCTGAAGATCCCCAAATGCTGCCATGGTCATGGGAATCAGAAAGTTGGGGTTTACGCTCTCTCAGTGTAGAGCATCAAATGCTGGGAGATGCAGGGCCGAGGTTTAGGGTACCACAAGGCACTGGGGCACTTGGGCCCCAGGTCCAAGCTATGTTCCTTGGAGAACCTCTTTATGAAGAGCTTGCTGGGATCCTCATGTGATGACAGGCTCCAAACCCCACGGTTAGTTATGAGATTATGTGATGTGATATATACATAAATATCTTGCAAAGCTGATAGATGATAAATAAACGGATGATATATACAGCTGACTTTAATGTATTGTAATGAGTTTTCCATCTGCTGATTAATTACTAGACAAAAGATAGCATACTTTCATAAGCTATGGATAATTAAGTATAAATTAAAGTACTACTTAGGAGACTGGAAAATTACTTCCCGTGCCAAAATCTTTTTGTGAGCTTTGAAAGAAAATGAGATTTTGAAATTTTCTTATGGTGCTGAAATAATAGATGATATTAATAAGAGATTGTCATCTCATAGGGTCATTCCTTCCCAGGAATTCCGTAATAGATTTGTATTCTGAGATCTACATGGCACTTCAGGCAGCTTGACAAACATCAGAACTTTCAGAGAGAGTGTCATTTCCGGGACCCAGGCCTCTGAGCTTCCTCCCTGACTGGCAAGCCAAGGGAGCGGCTGGCTGAGGCTGCAGCACACCCCGGGCGAGGGGTGGGCAAGGGGCAGTGTTCTTCTTACCTTCCAGCCATTGCTGTACAGAATTCGACTTTCCTCTTCACATTCTTTTTTAACTCCCCTCATCAATATTATGGATGGAGAGAGAGCAACCGCAGACAGATGAGTGGGGGAATATTTCACTTTGTCTATCGATCAATGAGATGTGCTGTTTTTAGCTTCAAACATGTGTTTACTGCCCTTGCCTGCCCCCTCCCATTGGTTGCCAACCTTATGTTCTTAGGAAACTCTGACTTGTACTTAAAGAAAATCATTTGTATGACATCAGTTATTTAACTTGATGAACCTATTCTCTTATGAGTTTGGGATAATGTATAGAACTGTACTTATAATTGGATATAACCCTAACATATAGCTACATCAGACTACTTAAATCTACAATTCTCTGATTTTTCTACACAAGTAGAAATTTCGAGAAAGTTATCTTAAAGTCTCGTAGCATTGTTCTGAGCTTGTCCATTTATCCTTCTGGTTCTGCTGTGTTTTGAGTTGAATGACTTAAGGCTCCTCAGCCAGATGAATAAATGGTTAGGATCATTTATGTCCTTGTTGAATTGATCCTGTGATAATTAAATGACTGTCTCCGTGTGGGACTCCTCTTAACAGCAGGAGCAGGGGCTGCCTCTGGCCCTGACGCCTGCCTTTGGATCCCTTTCCCCTACGTGGGCTGCCTTGTCTAGCCTCAAGAGATGTGCTCAGTCCTACTGCAACTTGATATGCCCGAGCAGTTGATCTCTATAGGAGGTCTCTCCTTCTCTGAGGAGAAAAAGGGGGGCGGGGAAGGTATGTGGGAGGGACTGGGAGGACGTAAAGTAAATAAATTAATTAATAGAATTAATATTTTTAACTTGGCAAAATGTACATGACATGAATTTATAAAATTATCCGTCATTTCTATGAGTTTGTTTTCAGGGAATTCCTTTTCATTTTATGCATAGTCCTTTAGCTTCCTGGAAGTTTTACACAAATGCCTGACACAGGGCGTATTAAGACTGTTTCTGTAAGGGTTATCTCACTTGGTATTTAAATTTCAGTTTTTCTAACATATTTACTCCAAAAATCATTTTAGAGAATATAAGAATGTATCTGAGTGACAGACAGCACACTTCCAACCTCTTAGGTAAAAATTTGATCAAGGGCTGCAAATAGCCTTCTAAAAAGGATTTTATTTTGTTCTGTTTTGTTTGGGGATTCAAGTTACTTATAAAGGGAGGCTAGCTTCACATTCAGTTTTTTAGCTGATCAAATATACAGATTGCATATAAGGCTTTTCTTTTTTAAAATAAAAAATAACTGAAATCTTAATTTTTAGTTACTCTTAAAGTAATCTAGTTTTTAAGTTCCACTGGGCTTGAATGAGATGTAATGCTTCAGTTCAGAAAATAATTATGCAAGTCAGCTGTCACAAATATATGCCACAGGGGACATAGTGTCAATACTCCTCTTAAAATAACAAATAGACAAATGCACAGGAAAAAAATAGTCTCTTCTAAAGAAACTACCTTAAATTCTATACTTATCAAAAACAAAGTTGTAAGAAAACGAACTATCTACAACCTGTGGGAGATTAACAGCTTGGAAAAACAATGAAAATAAGTGCTAGCAAGCTCCATGGTGGGTCACATGACCAGAAAGTAGAAAATGGGATTCTTATTCAGCTTAGGCCACTGCTACCCCCCTACCTAGGAAGCAGGTTACCAGTGGTCCTTTCGTCTAGGAGGACTACATCCTCTGGAAAAGTCTATTCTTAGCAGCCTAATAATGATTGCTGCTGAAGCATTTTCCTTAGATAGAAAGTCATGTGATTGTCCTTCTCCTCCTTCCACCTCATCCCTACCTATTCAGTGAAGTCATCCTGCCACCGTGCACAGGAGGCTGCCCCTGCCTCTGCCACTCTGGGCCACATTTACTATCAAGTGACAACCAAGCCCTTCACAGAGGTGTCCTAGCAACTCATGACCATGGTGATAAATCCCAGCAGCAAACAGTAAATCAATAACACTGAGTAAAACCTTATTGGGTATGGCTTTGGTGGGTTGGCAGGGCTCATCTCCATTTTCAAAGTGCTGTAGACAGTTTAGAAAATAGATCTCACTCTCCATCTCACATTCAGAGACATAAAATTCACCTGTCTCTCATCCCCCTTCTCACCCTCCGCAGCTTAGAACAGCGGAACTTGACTTTGGAGACAGAAATGCTGAGTCTCCACGACGAACTGGATCAAGAGAGGAAAAAGTTCACCATGATAGAAATCAAGATGAGAAATGCTGAGCGGGCGAAGGAGGATGCGGAGAAAAGGAATGACATGCTGCAGAAGGAGATGGAGCAGTTCTTCTCCACCTTCGGGGACCTGACGGTGGAGCCCAGGAGAAGCGAGAGGGGAAACACCATTTGGATCCAGTGAGCCGCTCGCTTCGGTCCCCGGCGGCTGGAGGGAGGACTCGGGGGACTTGGGGGCAAACAGTGTCGGGGGAAAGCGTGGGATCAGATGGCTGGTCTGTGTAGAGCTTCATCTGGTATGGGAATCTCACTTACAGACATCACTATCCATAACCACAGTGTGTACCAAAGTTATATCACGCTCCATAACGCTACTGTCGAGTGTTACAACTGGATATGTGTATAGAGAGTAGTTTTTAAAACGTCAGCTAAGAATAAGAAGCATAGCTCAATGATTATTTTATTGCAAGTCCTGTATTTAAATGTTGAATCAATATGTTGTTGGAATTTAGCTTGCATTCAAGCTCCGCCCCTTGCACTTAACATAAGCTATTTTTGGCATTCGTGTTATCATCCGCTTATTTTATAGATCAATATTTTTATTTCCCCTTTTGTTGAGGAAATGAAGATAAGAAGAAATATAAATATATAAATATATATAAGAGGAGTTATTAAAGTCAAGAGAATACTTTGTGGCTGTGCTGTTTGTGCCAATAGACCTTGCCATGACCAAAAAGAGAAATGTAAAAGAAAGTTTTATAAAATATAGTAGAATCACCCGGTACCTGTCAATGGTTCTTTAACTTCTTCGGTTTGGGCTAGGGAGGTGGGTCAGTGAATATGAGTGTTTGCCATGTACGCATAAAGACCCGAGTTCAGATACACTGCACCATGTAACAATCCAGACGTAGCTACATACCTCCTGAACTGGGCGTGGAGGAAGCTTGAGGTTGCTGGACAGTCACCCAGTTGTGTGAACCTTTTTCCGTGGAAACACACAGTGAAAGTCCCCACAGGGAACTGATGCCAGGTCAAAGGAATCATTCTACCAAAACACACCTTGGTGAACCAGACAACTCACCAGGGTTATATATGGGGGGGAGGTGTCCGGGGTTGCTTACAGGAGCATGGACAATGGAGGCAGAAGTGCTGCGCGACTGAGAAACCCCCCCCCCCCCGTCCTCTCCCGCCTGAATACACCTCCTGAAAGCTGGATCCCCGGAGCTCTCTGCACAGCACGCAAATAGCTCAGCAGGGTCAAGGGACTCTCTCCTCACAGTCTTTATGTTATATAATCTTGGAAATGGAGGGGCTGAAATGAGTTCCAGGGACTTCCTGGAACTTGTGAATTATTCACTTCCTGAGCCTCAGTGAGACTCCCTCTAGGAAGGAAAGGTTCATTGCTGTGGAACGCCAGCCAACCTGAAAAACAGCAAGCTCAGGTTTGCTAAGAGGCATTGTCTCAGTGGACTAGGGTAGGGCCTGACACCTTCCTCTGCCTCTACCTACATGGGCGCTCAAACACACACACACACACACACACACACACACACACACACACCTTAACACTGCCATTCATTTGTTTGATGATCTGATACAAGGAGGCTGAAGCTCTGTTGGAAAGTCCTCCTCCCACTGTGCTGAGAGATCCAGAGGCAAAGCTCTCTCTTGCAGGCTGCACCATGTTGGGAAGGAGTGGAGAAGAACTGCATTTTCTTGTCCTCCTGAAGTAGCTCTCTATTCTTGCTGCCTGCTAGAGGATCTCCATGCACCCTTAAAAGGCTGGGAAGCAATGCATGATCATAGGAGTCCAGCTCCTTCCCTCAGACCTGCCAGCAGATGAGTGAGCTGCCTGTGCCTCTCCCAATCAACCAGTAGAATGCCTGCCACTCTGTGTCTTTCTCTCACTCAGGCTATGGTTGTTTGGGATTTTCTCTGCAGCACAGCTGAGTCTCTAGCAAGGTGATAAGAAAGGGGACCAGGAGGACTAAAGAATCATGTGAAAGAAAGAATGTATTTTTCTTATTTTATAATACCATTTCTCTTAGTATTTATTTAAAAATGCCATGCACACAACCAATCTTAGATCCAATAGGCTTTATTGGATGGAAAGAGAGAGAGAGAAGGAGAGAGTGAGGCATCATAGGGGGAGGGGAGAGAACTCCCCAACAGAGAGAAGGGAAGAGCAGGAGAGCTAGAGAGTAAGAGAGCAAGAGAGAGACAAAGTGACAAGTTGGTCTTTTATGGAGTAACTGAACCACTCCTGCCAGGTACAACTACCTGGCGGGTGACACATGATGACATCAGAGTTTGCTAGGGAACCCAGAAGCAGGCTGCCTAAATACTAACATTCCTCCCTTTTTATTTAATTTAAAAATGAGGCGCTTGGGCTGCTTCCCATGTGAGGCAAGTTAAAGTATATAATTGGTGGTTTATTGGAAGCAGCTCTTGGTCACTCTGAAAGGGGGTAAGAGAGATGAAAAAAGTAAGAGCTTCAAAATGTCCAGATTACATGAGGGGGAGGAGGGGAAGCCCCTGCCCTGGAAAGTTCAGAATTAGAGGGTGGGGTTGCCAGCCATGCCCAGATAGGGACTGAGGAATGCTGGGAGTGCCTGGAGCTTTTGGTCCTGGGCCTGAAGCACACCATTTAAGCCTTTTGTTGATAACAAGTGGATCACGGGTGAAGAAATCAATCACCTTTAGCTACTTCCTGCTGACACTAGGGCAGCGATAGGGAGGTCAAAAGGCTGAAATGTTGGCCATGTCCAGGAACGTAGACTGTTTTAATGCTCTCCAAGGTCTGTGAGAACCTCTGTGTCTGGGAGTGGAAGTGCAGGTCCGGCTTGATGCAGTCTTTGAGGTTGGCCTGGGGCACCTGTGGTAGGTGCTTTGGTGCTGTCTTGGATGTAGGAAACACCTGGGTCTGGCAGGGTACTGGAACGTACATATAGGCAGAAGACAAAGTAGGTTACAGAGAAAATTTTCTTAGGTGTACATTACTTTTAGGTGTATGTTTGAAACTTTTTGGGAGAGCGAACAGAGACAGAAGAAGAGACTTGAACTTAGGAATCTCCATTTACCTGATCGCTGACAGTAATTTAAAAGATTTTGCTTTGGATCTATCATCTAAGGAAATTGAGGCCAAGTTTGGTTACAAAAGTATGTAAGCCTAGAGGCCCCCAAAGTGGACTCTAAGTGTGAATATAAAATTATTTAGAAGACATCTCAGAGGAGAGCCTGGGTATATGTGGAAGACACAATTTCCATGGGTAAAGAGAGAAAAGTCAGTTCAGCTGGTCTTTGGGGCCTCCCCACAAAGTACAGGAGAACCAGAGGTACGCAGGCACAAGTGGGCAAAGTAGGCCATCACAAGCAGTGCTGGGGGCCACAGGTGGGTCCCCAGGCCTGGCTTACCTAATGCTGTGAGGGCAGGTCCTGAGGCCTGGCTTACCTAATAGTGAAGTCCAGCACTAGTGGAGCAATCCTGGAAGACCTGAGCAGATGAGGCTGTCGGAGAGAAAAAGTTCTGTTGTGGGCCACACAGGCGTCTGAGTGGCCGCCAGAAGAGGGGCGGGTACGTTCAGCAGCATCAGTGGCAGGCAGAAACAGGTTAAGCCATCATGAGAGGAGCAGATGAGGGCGCGAGAGAAAGATTTCCTGTGGGCAGGCATGTGAAGAGGGATTCTAGCATGTCTAAACATTACTAGAAGAGCCTTCCCGGGTTTCAGCACCAAATATTAGTGTTTACTTAAAAATGCCATGCACACAACCAATCTTAAATTCAGCGAGTTTTTTTTGGAGAGATGGAGAGAAAGAGAGGAGAGAGTAAGACATGATAGGGGGAGAGGGGGCTCTCCAACAAAGAGAGGGAAAGAGTAAAAGAACAAGAGAGAGACCAAGTGGCAGGTTGGTTCCTTTATGGAGCAACTGAGCCATGCCTGCCTGGTGCAACTAGCCGGCCAGCCACACATGATTATATCATAGCTTGCTAGGCAACCCAGAAGCCAGCTGCCTAAATACTAACAATTTCCCCTAATGAAAATACGCTTGTTCCTAATAATTTTTAAATGTTAAATATGTAAAGGTCTATCTTGGACAAACAGGTGAAGATTAGCAATATTAACTTTCTAGAAAACTCCAGCACTCTTTGAGGTTACTGCTTTAGGAAAACAATTATTTTCACTAAAGTGAGGCAATGGTTAGGGAAGGCTAGTGATAGGGTAGGAACCTCACACTAGAATCAAATGTCGAAAAGGACATGACTATAAATAGCAGACTGTTTAAGCTTGTAGAATTTGCATTTTTGGAAATGATGTTTTTGTGTTTTCTGAAGATACAGTCTTGGTACCATGATTCCAGCTTGTATTAATCTTCCCACTGGGTAAGTTTGTGTGGTCATTTGATATCAGCCAGTATTTCTGTAGCAAGAACTGCTTTTGTCTTTTATATTTTGCCTTTTGCTTTTCTATGTCCACAACCAGATATCTCCTAAGAAATCTCATAAGAAATCCAGCTATGTCATAAGAAATTCAGAGCCAGATTAAGTAAACTCCAGATCAGAACCCTCCTGCTGTTCCTTGGCACTCTTTCCGGCTTGTATGTCAGTTTGGAAAAGCCTCAAACGCTACGTGATGAGACATTAAAACACTAAGGTCAGGCTATCAAAATGCCTGGGTTGGCTCAACTTGTCTGCAGTTTGCCGACCATTGTTGAATCTTCCGTGCATAACTCACTCACGCTGCAGAGTTCGAATAATACAAGTATTACCCATATAGCCTTGCTCTGTGATTTCAGTGACAAGCTGAGCCCTATGATAGCTGTGCAGGAAGAACACTACATGAATGTTAACTGTTAACGGATATTTATCTTGTTCTGCTCTCCAGATGATTTCTCTGTTGCCTCCACTTTACTGATGGTAACCTAGTAACTTGCTCCTCTTTTTGGTGTTGCTAATCTTTGGCGAAAACATCCTGCTCTGTTCTGGTCTCTTCACTCTGCCCCCATTGTGTCCAGGCTGCCTTGCTAAGTCATCCTCTGACCATAGTTTGTCACTAGTGTGGAAGGCTTTGACCAACACACACACCATCCTTATCTCTTACCAACTCCAGTAACACTCACCAGTCACTTCATGCTTGGGAAGCTTCCTGCCCACTGTTGCTATGGTCTTGTTTGCTTTCTTTCTGGGTGGCATAGTCCATATTTTTGAGAGCCAAATCATTGGTAGTTCTGTTAGCACAGGCAAAGAGTGAGCTGGGGGAAAGGACCGATTATCAAAATGACAGTTTAAAGCTTTCAAATACTCACATTTCAGAAAGCAACCTTCAAAATATACCTCATGCTTAATTAAAGATAAGCCCTAACCAAAGCTCAAGACTGCAAACTGGCCACAAATCTAATGGGTGAACTGATAAGAATAAATCCAATCCATCCTCTCATGGCCCAAGCTACCCAAAGCTTAGATACAAACTCACAATAACTAAACTTGGTCAACCATCTCCTATCTTAAGTCCTTTCTTGAACTTGGGATCACTTGGAGTAGCTTTTAAGTGACTGCAAAGTTAAAGCCAACAGTAATAGAATGTGGTTAATTATGTCTTCCTTAGTTGGCCTGAGAAGGTGAAATCTTACTTTATTCCCAAGGCACAGGCCAACTGGGACAGAACATCATGCTCATATCCACCTCAGTGTAAGGCTCAGCAGACACAAATGAGGTGCATGGTGTTGTGTTCTCAAGTGAATCTTCCTACTTCTATCTTGTTAAAGCCTTCTAACCCCTTTATCTGGACTCCACTTTACCCTTCTGGAAGGTGTTCTAGAGTTGTCCCTAATCTCACGCAGCCTCATCCAGAGACTAAAGTGGTTCTCCCATGTGGTAGCAGTTTTCGGTGAAGTCCTCTAGAATCTCAAACAGAAAATTCTCTTTTTGTGTCTAACTTCTGTATAGCTCTTTTCTACATCTTCTCTCCTCCCTATCCCACACTGAATAAGAATCATCTTAGGAGTCAACAAGGTAGAGAGGAAAACAGCACAAAAGAGAGCCCACAACAGACCTGAGCTGGCTTCTCAACCTCTCTCAGGCAGGACACCAGGAAGGAGAAGTCACTGACCTTGTCTCAGCTGGGGGTGTCACCTGTGATTTGGAAATAGCTCTTAAAAAGAACTGGCCATCTCACTCACAGCTCAGCTGCTGCATGGACCATCTTAAGTAAACATGATGTTGTTTTCTTGGCCTTTAATTTCTCACCTTCCACAGTTGATGCTAAATACAAGGCGGGCACAAAAGTAAAATTCATTGATGGCAATATAGTAACCCCCCTAACCATTCAGCTTTTAACTCTTGAGGGGTGCCTTGCTAACGGATCACAGTGCCAGGTGTCATGGATAACATGAGCATCATAGCCTCCTGGTTTTCAGCTGAAAGCTGAGAAGACATCTACTATAAGCTGGTACAAGAATGAATTGGAAATTAGTAAGCTTGAAATTAATAGTTGGGTAGTATAAAAAATTGTTTGTGCGGCTAGAGAGATGACTCAGCACTTAAGAGCACATTAAATAATGTTTTTAAATATAATTGCTGAAGAATAATATCGAGGGGCCAAGATGGCGGCACCGGGAGAACACGGTGTCTGAGAAGCAGGACAACACGCTCCGTGCAGCGACCAGGAGACTGAACTCTGGGCCCTGAAACAACAGCGATCGACCATGTTTCCCAGGTGAGGGGAGGCTCCCACGGCATGGGAATCGGTCGGGTCCACTCTTGGCTGCCCAGCCAGAACCCAGAAGAGAACTCCGCTAACGCGGGCTCTGGGTCTCCGGGCTGGTGCCGCAAGCCTGCTTGTCCCGATCACTTTCCCAGGCTGATTGGTGGGCACAAGGGTGCCTTAGGCTGGGAGTCCCACTCGCAAAAAAAACCCACGGGGAAGCAAAGTTGCCAGACTGGTCACGGGTCACCCAGTCTTTCCCTGGAAGGTCTCTCCGACCACGGCGGGTACCTGCCTCCATCACAACTGAGCTCCCGCCGTGGGCGGATAGCAGCTGCGTGCCTAACTCAAAATTCCTACTCCCTCTTCGGAGGAGGCAGGAGGTGTCCAGCAGAATCTGCCACAGACCACATTGTCTGTACCCCAACCCGAGATCGGGGCTGAGAAAACCCAATCCTTTCGAGCACTCCCCCAAACGCCGCCATCACCCTGCCGCAGTGGAGCAGAAGGATAAAGAGGCGCACAGCGGCTTCACAGTACCGGAACTCCAGTGCTGCCGGCCGCTCCTAGCAAACAAACTACAGCTCGGGATCTGGGACTGTGGTCATTCTACACGTCCTGAGATTATCCTGGGTCCAGCGCAATAAGGTCTAGCAGCAAGTTCTATCACTGGCGCCCCCCCGACCCCTGGCAGAGAAACGCCGGCTCAGGGCTCAGGATGCGACTGAGAAGCCCCAATCCCTGCTGGCACTCCCCTGAGAGCACCTCCATAAGCTTGCCCTAGCAGAGGAGAAGGTCAGAGGGGAAGGACAGAGAGGCAGCCTGCCAAGGACACAGCACCCTCTCTCCAGCTCACCCAGCGGCCCCTAGCAGAGAAACCCAAGCTCTGGATCTGAAGACACTCAACCCTACCCGGTACTCTCTTGGGATCAGCAAACATAGATTCTACCGCTAGGCTGCTTCTGGCAGAGAGATCTGGGCCCGGGATCTGGGATTGAGTACACTCATCCTAACTCTTTCCTGCAACACCCAGGGACCAGTCAACATAACCCCTCCTGGCAGAGGGAAAGGACAAAGAGGCAGCACACAGGAAAGGTGGACACCGAGTCTTGCGGCCACAGTGTCACAGAGCTGACTGTTAGCCTACCCGTGCACTTCCACAGCAGGACCAAAACAGAGAGTAGTGAGCAAGGGGAACCCCTGTGCATTCCAACTGGTCCTGCAAGAGAGTGAGTGAGCCTTCTAGGGAGAGATTGCCCCAGACCCAGGGCCTCTCCACAGAAGCAACCAGATGAGATCCCTGCCACCCACACCCCTAGTGTGGGCATCATAGGGATTCTTGGGATAGAGACCCCAACATTGAAGCCTCTGCCTTGAGGGTCCATCAGGGTAATCCAGGCAAACAATCCCTGGATCTCAGTCAGAACTGCGTAATAGTGGCTTCCAGGCCACTGCAATAGTCAGAGAATCCGCGCATGCACACTGCGCCCACTAAAAGTGCACGTGAATAGCGACAGCTTCACATTCCTTACTTAGGCAAAACTGAAAACACAGTGCACACTCCCAAAGCAGAGAACCTCTCTCATCTTCCTGAAAAAACAGTCTAGAAAACAGAAAGAGAAGATCATAGCCCAAACTACAATCTCGAGAAACAACCAGTGAGGATTATAAATAACCAGATGGCTAGAGGCAGACGTAAGAACACTCCCAACAAAAATCAGGACATAATGACCTCACCAGCAACCCCACAAAACAATGGACACTTCAATTCACTAGATATACAAGAAAACGACCTCAAAACTATGTTTCTCCAGCTATTAGAGGCCCATAAAGATGAAATGAACAAAGCCCTCAGAGAAATAACCAAAGAAATCGAGACTAACCAAGAGGAAACAAATCGTGCTCTCAGAGAAATAACCACAAAAATTGAGGCAAACAGAGAAGAAATGCACAAAGCTCTCAAAGAAATGTCCACACAAATGAAGGCAAATAAAGAAGAAATAAACAAAGCTCTCATAGAAATACAGGCAATTATACCCAAAGAAGTAGAGGCACAATTAGTGATACATAGAGAGGAAACGGACAAAAAAATAGAAGCTATCATTGAAAAGCAGGAGTCCACATTCAAACAGATGAAGGAAATGGTGCAAGACATGAAAACAGAATTAGAATCAATAAAGAAAACACAAATAGAGAAAAACCAGGAGCTGGAGAACATAGAGAAAAGATCAGGAACTACAAAGGTAAGCATCACCAACAGAATACAAGAGATGTATGAAAGTATCTCAGGAGCCGAAGATACACTTGTGGAAATTGACACATCTCTCAAAGAAAAAATAAAATCAGAAAAGTTCCAAACACAAAACATCCAAGAAATCAAGGACACCATGAAAAAACAAAACCTAAGAATAATAGGAGTAGAAGAAAAAGAAGACATCAGGCTCAAAGGTCCAGAAAATATTTTCAAGAAAATTATAGAAGAAAACTTTCCCAACTTAAAGAAGGAGATGGCCATAAACATACAAGAGGCCTACAGAACACCAAGTAGACTAGACCAGAAAAGAAATTCTTCATGTCACATCATAGTCAAAACACTGAACCTACAAAACAAAGAAAAAATTCTAAAAGCAGCAAGGGAAAAAGGCCAAGTAACATATGAAGGTAGACCTATCAGAATCACACCAGATTTCTCAACAGAAACTATGAAAGCCAGAAGGGCCTGGACAGAAATCATACAGTCCTTAAGGGACCACAGATTCCAACCCAGACTACTATACCCAGCAAAACTTTCAATCAACATAGACGGAGAATTCAAGATATTCCAAGACAAAACCAAATTTAAACAATATCTACATAGTAATCCAGCTCTACAGAAGTTACTAGAAGGGAAACTCCAAACCAAAGAAAACAACTACATCGAAGGAAACAGAGGAAATAGATAACTACACAACAACAAAAAAAAAAAAAACAAAAGAAGACAAGCAATGAAACTCAGTGACACCACCAACACCACATCTAAAGTAAGTAACAATTGTTGGTCACTAGTTTCTATCAACATCAACAGACTCAACTCACCAATTAAAAGACACAGACTAACAGAATGGTTGCGGAAACAGGATCAATCATTCTGCTGCATCCAAGAAACACACCTATGCAACAAAGATAAACACTACCTCAGAGTAAAGGGCTGGAAAAATGTCTTTCAAGCAAATAGTTCCAGAAAACAAGCAGGAGTAGCCATCCTAATATCTAATAAAATAGACTTTCAACCCAAGTTAATCAAAAAAGATAAGGACAGCCACTATATTCTCATCAAAGGAAAAATCCACCAAGAGGACATCACAATTTTGAATATCTATGCCCCAAATACAAGAGCACCTACATTCGTAAATGAAACAATATTAAAGCTTAAATCACACATTGATCCTAAAACCCTAATAGTGGGAGACTTCAACACTCCACTCTCACCAAGGGACAGATCAACTAGACAGAAAACAAATAGGGAAATAAAAACACTTACAGAGACCCTAAATCAAATGGACCTAA